GAAGCAACAGCAAGGCCTGCAGTGCAACTGCATCCATGCAGTTGCAGCTCCTTCCCGCTGACATGACGGCGAGGACGAGCAATTTCAAACTCGTCCGCGCACTCAAAACAGGACCCAAGAAAATCGAGGTTTTTGGTAATTTTAGACATTTTGAACTTCATCAATGTAATCAGAGCTATGAAAAGGCCTCCCACTGGCAAAAACATGAGAGACAAAATTTTGAGTGGACGTTGGCTTTAAGATTCTCAAGCAGCACAGGAGGGGCCCAATGAAGATTTTGAAAAGTTTAAAATTGAAAAGATATGCAAAAATTTCAACTAAGGGCATTTTATAAGACAAATTGCTATCACTTTTTGAGTAAGTCGGTTATTTTGGGTATATTTAGGGCAAGCAAAGCGAAAGGAAAGCATCTCAAGATTTATAACCCATTCACTAAAACTTATTTTTTGACCAAAGGTTCAGCGCTCAAAATTCAACAGCTGATATACATAATTTCAGAAAAGAAAACTTAGCTTACCCTTGTGAGAAGCACTGCTTTAAGGAACAAGTGGTAACAATCGATGTTATCAATTTTTCCAAGTAACAAACAGTATCCGTTCTTTTCTTTTCGTTTGTGGGCAGTTTTCACGTTTTGTTGGCTTGCTTACAATGACATTGATTAAATATCTTACTCACTATTGTTGTAGCAATGCGGTATTCCTTTATTGCCTTGACATCAATGTCGAGACTGTCGTATAGGAGTCTGAGCTTGTCCAAAATTGTCCAGGAAGCAATCTAAGTGGTAACGGCGTTTGAAAGCTAAAAAATTAGTTCCTTTCATCTGCAGTTTCGATGTACCTGTCTCATATATGTTGTTTCCGGGTGATCGCTTGTTCGTTCAATCCTGATGACTTTGACGAGAACATTCTGAACAATGCAAAAACACAGGGATCGTCTATATTAGGTCGTAACATAACACTTAAAGGAAGATTCACGATTTTCTCGAATTTTTTCTTTTTTTTTTAAATACATGAAGGGTTTGGCTACAAACGTTACACATAAAAAATTCAATTTCTGAATTTTTATCTTGAATTATTTTTGGTAGACTTCCAGCTTGCGTTAATGAAAATCATAGACTCTCAAATTGCCAACATATTGATACAAATACCCTGGATATCCATAAAAAATCTCCAAGTGCGTAGGAAAAAACGATGAAAAAATTTTCAGAAGAAAAAAAACTAGTTGCAATATCGTCACAACATTCCCGTTGGATTTTCTTTCACACGTATCTGTGAAGGTGAGAATAATGCCACTAAATAAACCTTTGTGTTGCAATTTTTTTACGTTTACCACAGATTTGCTAAAGTTTTTAGAGGTTTTGAGAGGAAAATCAAAATGTGTAACAAAGATTATGTCACAATCTAACATGAGTCAACTCACACATAATGCTTAGTACATACCTCGTAGAAGGTTCTCGCACTAAGTTTCTGGAAACCTCCGTACTGCGGTGCTTTACTATTGAGCACAGTCATTGCATCTTCGATTACGTAGGTAGCCTCCGTAGACTCATGAGAAATATTTTTCACAACTTTTCTTAGGTTTTTGAGTGTTTCTAATGCGAAACGCATGACTTCGTAGTAGAATGCGATTTCCACCTATGAACACGACAGGGATTATTAAATGCAGAGTCAAGTTCACCAGCATCTCTCTCCACAACTCTGCACCTTTTTCGCAAACATGTTTCTCAATCATTTCTGCACGCTAAGATAACGATTGAGGCCCCTCCTTTCCCAAGTTCGTGAAACTGATAAGAGGGCATGTTCGAGAAAAAAGCGCAGAGTCCAAGAGAGGCGGCCGCGAGGACGGGGATGCTGGTGTACCCGACTCTGCAATTGATAAGCCTTTTATACATGACTAAAACACCGGAAAAACATATACAAAAGACAACCAGAGAACTTACCTCGTCTGAACTATTTATAGGAGGACTACGAACTGAACCTGCAGTACCAAGAAAATCTCTCAGAGCACGCATGTTAGCACTTCCAGTAGCATAAGGTCTGATCCAGAAAATATTTAACGAAGTACAATCTTTACATTGAAAAGGTGTGATATCCTATAAATTGTGTGAGTTCAAATTCTTCGATCATTGATTGAAATCCAAATTTGTGAAATAAAGTCAAAGTTATTTCTCGCGTCTGTCACAAAACAGCCCTTGTGAATGCTAAAAGAAGCAGTGCCAATTGCAGTTGAAATGACGGCACAAGTCTTGATGCTTTTCTCAGATAGTATAGTGTTTTGAAGTTTCTAATTTATGAGTGGCCAATACGCGATGACGTTAACGCTGCCGCGAATGAGAAATTTGAATTTATCAAAGAGAATTTGTAAAGGGACGATAGCTCATAACAAGAAAATGGTAAAAGTCCAACGCAAACAGTATAATTATCAAATGCAGCACAGAAATGACTTCAAATTTTCTCCTATATTCTAAAAGCCCTTGTACACGAAGTAAGCCATTATACTACAAAGAATTGCTTATGCAGATTGCAAATTTGGACAGATCCATGCTTACGCAAGAATGGTTAAAACTTAATTCAACCATTCCGAAAAACCTTTATATCGTTTGAAATCTGCGTGAAACGCTGATCACAAATGTATAAAAATTAGCTGTCGAAACTTGTAATGTGTTATGCCCCCTTTTTCGTCGCGAACATGTCAAGCCTTGTCAAGTACCATTCCTCAAGAATTTCGTAAGTGAAGTACTAGAGTGAACGATTAGCGAAGTGGATAAGCGCGGAGCTTATGGAGCAGATTTTCGTGAGTCCGATTCCTTTTTTCCCCTTACTTTTTTGCGCGTTAAAATTTTTTTGCTTTTTTTTCGCTTGCGAACGCTGCTCCACCACCTCTCTACACTACCACCGATTTTTACATCAGAGAAAATGCATTTTATGTAGCATCAAACACTATTTCTGGTTGGTCGCCAATTACAGCAGCATCAGCAGTTATCAGAGCTATGAATATAATAATAGCATCGGCTGCATACCACAAAAAGAATAACAATTTGAAGAAAGACAAAGACCAAGACAGATTTGTCACTAAGCGAACGAAGGAAAATAGCAGATTATGAAACTTTGCCTCGTGCAATATGGCTGCGAAGTTGTCTATAATCTTCTTTTTCATTCCACATGTAATACGAAGCTCTTCGCAGCATCCTTGCACCATCGCAGAACTCTTTTACCAGATATGCCAAACTACTTCTGGTGGGAACATTGCGAGTCCCTGCAAGCCCAAATTTCCTTCCACTTTACTGTACTTTCTCGTTACTTTAAGACAAA